GGCTACAATTAATTTAATTACTTTGTAACTAAAGATTGTTAATGTAATGACGATAAACCATGTTTAATAAATGTCTCACATTTAATGCCTGTTTGCGATAAAAAAAAAAAAAAAAAAAAAGAAATGATATTTAACTTCAAAAAATTAATAAAAATTTTATATTGTTAATGTCTCTCTTAACAAATTTGCTATTTTTTCAAAGCAAGTTTTGTATAATGTCAAATAAGTTTTTGGCTTCTCTACTTGAGATGCATAATTTTGTTTAGCTTGATTTTTTATTAATTTTTTTCTTTTTTTTCTATTGTTTGCTTTTCATAAACAAATGTTATTACTTTTTCTCTTAAAATTTAAGATGTTCTCTTCATAGTTAATTTGATTTTATATCTTTTGACAATGTCTATTATATATTTTTATTTGGAAAAATTTTAATTTAAGGAGCAGTTTTTATTATTGATATATAACCTTTCTTATATTTTCTATTACTTTTCTTTTTTATTTCTACTCTTATATGTTTCTCTTTTTTATTTATATAAAATAATAGAGAAAACTATTAAAAAGAAAATAAACTATTAATGAACAAGCTTTTTAAAGAAAAAATAAAAAGTTTATTTTAGGTTTTAATTATTATATTGTTATTTATGCAGTTTTATTGACTATTTCTAATTTTTCGAATATGCAACACATTAAATTACATATTGTTATTAAATTCTATGCAATTTTTCTGTTAACGATATATATTATAATTTTTCTTTAAAAATAAAAAAAAAAACTGGTTTATTTATAAACCAAAAAAAATAAACATATTTAATAACTTTGTAGAAATATAAATAAAGTTATTTTAATATAAAATAATATTTTATACTATATAAAAAAAATCTTTTCTAAAATTTAACAAAAAAACTTTTTCTCACAATACTTCAATTTGTAAAAAATTTTCTTTTTTGGTAATCACACAAGTGATAGATAGTAAACAGTCAACAAAAACCTCTTTCTGGAAGAGAAGTTCATCTTAGCTTATTGCAGAATACAGGGATTGGATTAACTCTTTATAGATAGATAGATGTTTTGGGATAAACAAAAATCTCTTTAATTAAACCCTTTGCTTTACTAAGTGAAACCTATATAAGCAACCTCCAAATAAAGAAAATCTTTTTATACATTTAAATATATCACTACTTAATATATTACAAAATTACATATAATATCAAACATAATTTTATTCACAACATACATTTTATTTTTTTAGTGTTTTTGTTTTATGTTGATAACAACTAGTACCAGATTTATTATAATCATCTGACTAGTTTTCAGTTCTTGTTAATATTATCTCTACACTTACAAAAAACTGAAATCAATTTATTCATATCTAAAGATCTACATTTCACAAACAACTAATTACACTTTATCATACCTAACAATACAACAATCTACTGAATAGGAAGAGTATGAGATCAGTGTCCTGTATGGGTTCCGATAATATCACCAAAACAAATCCAAATCAGATAATACTATATAACTTTGTCTTATATCAAAACACAAACTTGAAATTAATTCTCTTTATAATCAAAAGACTACTATAAATCAAAAACATCAAATCTGACCACTAAACTACTTATGTCAATTATTTACTTCAATTATAATAACATTACAACAAATATTATAATAATAGAGTTGTGACTTGTGTTATCCTACTCACAAAGCAGTCAAAGCTTGACTAAAGTGGATAGTTTAAGTTTACGACTTATTTAAAATAGCAGCAAGCTTAGAATAAAGCCAATACTAATACTTACAGAAATTAATATCACTAATAATTTTAACACTTGAATCAAGTGACCTAAATTGCAAAAAACCTTTGTAGATAGTTTTTTTTTGACCTTATATTAAAAAAAACTTTTTTAATAGTAAGAAACATTTAAATTATATTCTTGTCTTTAATTTAGGACCCATCTTTAACTGTTACACTTGATTTTGCCCAAGATAATCACCATTCTTGTCTGATTTTTACTAGCATTTGTTATTAAAATGTTATCCATTCTAGAATAATTCTTGTATTACTACTCTTGTTATTGTTTAGCACTATACTTTTTATACTATTGTTACTCTATAATATTTTCTATTTTATTTAATTATTTTTATTCTTGTATCTTTGCCAGAGTATTTGTTTCTATACTAATATATACAGATAACTGTTTTGACAAATATAATACTTCTTTTATATCTCTATTATTTCTTATAACATATATTTATCATATACGAAAATATTATAACTAAACTATATATATAAAGGCTCCAATTTTGTCTAGGAATTGACAGGCTTGAACTTATATTTTATTAAATAATATCTTGAACTTTATAAAACAAATTACCATTGCATCTTTCACCTAATCTCATACATCTCAGAACTGTATTAATTTGTATGCCTCTAGGAATTTTAGCATATTACATTGATCCTGTTCATCTAAAGTATCTCTCTGTTACTAGTTCTCTATCTTTATCTTTTTCCTGAGATAAAAATGATATATGATAATACTAATACATTCAAATAAAATCTCTAATCAAGAAAAAGCAAGTTTAATAATCTTGTATTTTCTTTGAATTTTATAAGAAAAAACCTATAGCAGTTACTTCTTTATAAAATTTTTTTAGAGTTTTTTTTATTTTTACTTCTCATTAATATACTTTTCTTATTAAATAAGTATATATATTTTTTGGAAAACTGTTTCTTTATTTCAAAAAATTAAATTCTATACTGAAATTGTCTATATTGTTTACTTGAAAAATCAATAATATACAATACTCATCTCTTAATATTATTGGTATATTTTGTTATACTATCAAAAAAAATTTTCTACATAAAGAAATTTTTATAAAAAACTATAATTAATTTATTTCTTTTAATTGATTACTATTTCAAATTTAGCTAATCAAATATTATCAAATATTAAAACAAATCTATATAATCAAAATACTATACAATGATTAATATAAATAAAACTCTTTGACAATGAACATAAAACAAAACTATACTATTATTAAATAAATTAATCAAATTAACTATTATTTGTATTAATATAATAATAATATAATAACAAACAAAATTAACTATACTTTATTATCCATATTGACAAGATTCATATTTATAAGTGGCAAAGAACTTGTAAAAAATAATAATAAGTCTGATCTTAAGTTTACTTGGAAGTATAAATATTTATTAAAAAAATATAAAAATTATATATATATATACTGTATATTCAAAACATATTAAATAACATATTAAAATTTCAAATAAAATTAGTACATATATTTTTATATACAGTAATAATAAATTTAAGATGTGTAATACTTTTTTCATGTAGTATATATGATATTATATTAAAAATATTAAGATTAAGATTGGAATTAAATATTTGTATTTTAAAAATCAAATTTAATTAGTTAATTGAATTTAAATAATTAATATAAAACTTTATTAAAAATATAGATGTATTAAAAGAAAAAAATTTTAAATTTTAAATCTTATATTGATAAAATATTTTGTATATCTAAAATTTTTAATAATAAAATTTTAATAATATTTTGATATTGAATTTATTATAAGTTTAATAGAATAAATTATAAATTATATATTAAATTTATTATAAGTCAATATTATATTAATATTAGTTCAATATTGGCTTGAAATTCTATATATATTAGTATTCTTTTGGAGTCATATACTCATATATTTTATTAATATTATTGAATTAATTTAATTTTCTTTTTATAAAATATAAAATATACATGAGTTGTAATTGAATTTGTAAACAATAAGATATTAACTTGAAATTTAATAAATAAAGAAATAAGATCTTTATTAATAAAAAAACAATTAAAATTAAAAAAAAAAAGATTTAATTCAATAAAAATAAGTTTTATTATTTTATTTATAAATAGATATTTGTTAAATCAAATAAATTTCTATAAATAATAAACAATTAATCTAAAAAATAAAAATTGATGATTATAAAATATTTTCTTTGCATCTGTTTAATTTCAAATAAATTAAAAAATCTTGTTAAAATTAAAGAAACAACAAATAAAAATGTTATTGATAAAATTTATGCAATGGATTGTTTAATATACATTTATAGCCTGGCTTAATAGAATAAAATTATTTTTTAAAAAGATAAATGATTTAAGACATATGATTAAATTAACTAAAGAATAGTTTATGAAAATTTAATTAAAATATTTGATTAACTATCAACAAATAAAAATGAATTGTGAAATGGTGTAAAAATTGCTTAGACTAGTTTTTAATAGAATATTGTAAAAAGTTAATATTAAGACTGAAAGAAATTCTAATGTAATTAAGGCATGTGGAAGATATACTCAAATGGTAGCTATAATATATAAACATACCCTATAAGTTTAATAAAAATTTATAGTGCCATATAATAATTTAGGAAATTGACATTAAATTTATATTTATACTTACCTTTCGTGATATGCTTTATCTCTTGTATGCGTATGTGAATAAAGTATACAACGCAACCAATTTTGAGATAGATTGCCAAATTTGTTCATAACAAAATCCCATACAATGTATACAGGTTAACTCTGTTTCACTAAAAATTTATTTTATAGTTGTTTTATTTCCTTTGAAAGGTTAAAACTTATGAAGATATTCTAGTTGACAACACTATCATATTGCCATATAAAATAAATTTTTAAAAAAAATTTAAAAAAATGATTTCGATTTTTTAATATTTATGTAATGACGTGAGTTAAACAAGTATTCCACTATCAAGGACCTCTTTGTCTTTAGTAATTTCAAGAGTTTGGCCAACCAAAATATCGACAACTCCAGGACCAGTCGCTTTGAAAGGCTTGGTACCGGGTAGCTGGATTTCTATACCCAATTGTGCAAAGGTACTGGATAAGTTTGCAACTTCGATAGCATATACATTAGGATCATTAATCGTGAGGCCTTTTTAGATTTGACCAGAAACGTGACTTTTTGGACGCCAACTTGTTCGAATGTAATTGTAGCATCGAGTTTGTGTAAGGTAACGCTCACTTTTTTGCCAATTTCGGCACGACGTACAGGGGATGCGTAAATACTAAATACGAGTATAGAAATGGCCAGTAAGATGATGAAAAGGGTGCGTTTAAGCGACATTTTGCCTCAAGAACACATAAGTCAGTTCTTTTATATTCAATTTTTAAGCTATTTCTAATTTATAATCTTTTTGCGTTCTTAACCCCACATGAATGCGAAAGTGATCTCTCATACCTGTCGACACATTATGAGCAATGATTAAGGCTTTTGCTCCTTAATTATAATGTATATGGCCTTTTCTAATGTAATGCATTGACTTTAAATACATATGTACAGTATATTCGGACTCGGATAAGAAAATCATTTTGCCTGACGGAGATTTGTTAGCTCCATTCAATTATCACGTCATTTTGTTAAAGCTTAGATTCGACGACCTTTAAACGTTTTCGAATTTCACTATGTGATGTTAACCATCTTATTTTCTTAATAATGTATATGAAATATGAGAAAATCCGAAATTCATAACCGTAAAATTTATTTTTAAAACTAACCAAAACCCATAGGTAAAGAATGTATCAAATTCCGATCGGATAATTGACATCATTCATTCAAAAAAAATTTTAAAAAATCTAATATGAAAAAAGCGATCGGCGCTAGTGGCTTAAAATGTAGTGGCTTAAGATGGCGTCCCTTAACCTAGTAGATGATCTTCGCTAACGCTCAATCATCAAGAAATGTATGAACGAGTGATGATATACTGTATGTAGTATGACCATTTTATTTAGCAGCGTTCCAATTTTAGAGATCTACGAGAAACATATTTCATTGTTGAATTTTTGTTTTTGTTTTTTTGTATCTGTTTTCTTTTTTAGGCCGTTATTTCAATATCTACTAAGCACAAATAGAAGTGTGATCTGTTACTATTCAATATAATCATAAAGAGTGGATACTTCATTCGTTCATACATTTCTTGATACTGTAATCAAGTGTAACAAAGATCATCAAATTTTTTTAATTCCTCATTGATAAAATCTCTGATAAAACTAGCTTGACTAATTCCTTAAGGCTAAGATAGAAGATATGTCCGTGGCTTGCATTAATATGTTACATAAGGACAACTGTATAATAATGTTTAGGCACGGCCGTGTACTTCCCACAACGTATATAGCGATGTTTAGGCACGGCCGTGTATTCCCCACAACGTGTATAATGATGTTTAGGCACGGCGGCGTACTCCCCACAACGTTGGAGTATAAATAAAGGTCCTTTTTATGTTTTTTTGCGTGATTATCTTTAAGTTGGTATTATAAGTAATTGTTTTATATTTATATGATTTTTACTTTGGCTAATTAATTAAATTTAATTTTAACAAATTCGAACCAAAAACAAATCATGTCTCCAAAAATGAACTTCAAAATCTTGCCAATCTTAGTGTTAGTTCTCACTAATCTATTCTCCGTAACAATCGCAAGTCCATTTATCTACAAACGTAAATAAACAATTTTTTTACTCGTAAATATTTATGTTTATTTTTAAATAGCTAATTTATATTCATATTTACACTATTCTACTAAATTATTAGGAGATTATCCTTGACATTGAAAAAAGTAAATATAAATTAACTTTTATTTATGCATATAAGTCTTTTAAATCAATGATCTATTGTTCTCTAATATACATGTATATCATTAATGTAAATTTTATTAAATTATTAGGAGGTAATAGGGTTTAATATATTAGTCTTTAAAATGATGTTATATCAAACTTGTAACAAATTTATTTTATATCTTATTTACTTTATTAAACCATTAGCCCGTGAGTATAAGCTTTGTAATACTGTATTCGTTTTTTAAAATAACATTTCTCTAATCGATTTTATAACTTATTTTAAACTATTAGCCCGTGAGTATAAGTTTTACAATAATGAATTCGTTTTTTAAAACAACATTTCTCTAATCGATTTTATAATTATTTATTTTATTAAACTATTAGTCAGTGAGTATAAGTTTTATAATACTGTATTTGTTTTTTAAAATATCATTTCTTTAATCGATTTTATAACTTATTTATTTTATTAAACTACTAGTCCGTGAGTATAAGTTTTATAATACTGTATTCGTTTTTTAAAACAACATTTCTCTAATCGATTTTATAACTTTATTTTATTAAAATATTAGTCAGTGAGTATAAATTTTATAATACTGTATTCGTTTGTTAAAACAACATTTCTCTAATCGATTTTATAACTTATTTATTTTATTAAACTATTAGCCAGTGAGTATTAGTTTTATAATAATAAATTCATTTTTTAAAACAACATTTCTCTAACCGATTTTATAACTTATTTATTTTATCAAACTATTAGACGGTGAGTATAAGTTTTATAATACTGCATTCGTTTTTAAAACAACATTTCTTTAATAGATTTTATAACTTATTTATTTTATTAAACTATTAGCCCGTGAGTATAAGTTTTATAATACTGTATTCGTTTTTTAAAACAACATTTCTCTAATCGATTTTATAACTTACTTATTTTATCAAACTATTAGCCCGTGAGTATAAGTTTTATAATACTGTATTCGTTTGTTAAAACAACATTTTTCTAATCGATTTTGTAACTTATTTATTTATTAAACTATTAGCCGGTGAGTATAAGTTTTGTAATACTGTATTCGTTTTTTAAAATAGCATTTATCTAATCGATTTTATAACTTATTTATTTTATTAAACTATTAGCCCGTGAGTATTAGTTTTATAATACTTTATTCATTTTTTAAAACAACATTTCTCTAATCGAGTTTATAAATTATTTATTTTATTAAACTATTAGCTGGTGAGTATAAGTTTGATAATATTTATTTTTAAAATACTATTTATTTAATCGATTTTATAACTTATTTATTTTATTAAACTATTAGTTGGTGAGTATAAGTTTTATAATACTGTATTCGTTTTTTAAAACATTTCTCTAATCGATTTTATAGCTTATTTATTTTATTAAACTATTAGGAAGTAAGTATAAGTTTTATAACACTGTATTCATTTTTTTAAAACAACGTTTCTCTAATCGATTTTATAACTTATTTATTATTAGACTAGATCGTGAGTGTAAGTTTTGAAATACTATATTCATTTTTAACACAACATTACTCATTTTTAAGATCTCTGTTTTGTAATTTAATACTTTATAACTTTATATATTTTAGGTTAATAAACAAAGTGACCGTCTCAATTCTGTAATAAAGAAAGCATTACGTACTTAATTGTATGAATTTTTTTTTCTTGAAATATCTTCGAGTTTTTTTTTTTTTTTGCCCCTTTTATGATTTTTTTTATTTATGCTGCATCTTTCTTTTTGACAGATCTTAGACGGTGGATCCTTATTTGATTGTAGAAATATTTATTTAAATTAAATAAAATTTTAAATATAAATATACGAATACTTAAAAAATAATTTTAATTAATACTATTTTATTGATCATCTTATTAATTTAGTTTACTATTTCAATTTTTGTTTAAAAATTCCAATGTACTTATTAGATTATATCACAGTTCCACAAAATAAAGATAATTTATATATTTATTTATATATATTTTGCTTTAAAATAGATCTTTAGTTAAAAATTATAAAGGGTAATTTAAATCCCGGAATTAACTTGATCAGGAAATAATAACATTTTTATTTGTAATTTGTGTGACAGCGTTTAGTATTTATAATGTATTTTTTTTAAAAAAATTCTTACATTTAAAAATTATAAAAAAACGAAACTGGAACATTATTTTGACATATTTTTACGATTACTTGTAAAAATTTAATAAGAAAGGTATATGTTTATTTATTATTATTATTTTTTAATTTTTTATTTACTTGAAGTTTATTTGTGGAATTTTTTAAAAAATATGCAAGCTATTACTTGATAAAACTCCTGAAGACCATCGAACTATTCAGTTTTTATATTATCTTGTCGCTTTTTATCAATTTGGTAATTCTCTCCGCGTTCAGTTTGAAAAGTTCATAAAGATGCTATCCCGTTTGAATTTATTTGTCAAGAAGAGAATACTGAGTTTAAGTTAAACTTATATGCACCATATGAAAAATTTTTTTTACAGTACTTGGTAAAAGAAATTATATTTTATTGTGGGGAACGCAGAATTGCTTCAAATAAATTTTGTGAAGGTAGTAACAAGTATTTTATTCGGGCTAAAAAAAAAACAAATGGATCAAATTATTATAGATAAAAATGAAATAGTTAGAGATATTTTTCATAATTACCTGTTTTTTAAATTTCAAGATACATGTTATATTGTTAATCGTTGAATGAATATTTATCTTTTATTAAATTTGATTTTTTTCAACCATTTTTTAGGAATAAAAAAAATAAGTATTGTTCTATTTATATTTTTTAAGAAATAATAAAATCAATATGATAAAAAAATTATTATTTATTTGTTATTTCAAAAATCGGTATTTTTTCACGAAATGTGAGCAGTTAACAATCTTCGGAGGCGCATTAATTGATGGGGAAGCAACCAAATTTGATAGATAAATGTCATAGTAAAGCCCAAAACATCAGCTTCATTTTGTGTTATAATAACCTTAGGACAAAGATGCCTTTGTAAATCATAATCGATGAAAAAGTGAAAGAGGAGAGGCATAAAAAGCAAGAATTGGTTGTCTATTGTAAGAGGGACAAAAAAATTAGATAAATTTAACATATGTCATCCTTGCTCAATTAGGGTTTGATTGCATAGCTTTAGGTCCAGCTATTTTCCTCCTATGCAAACTCTATTTCATATCTAATTTATATGATTATAATTTTATTTTTGTTTTTTATATAAATTTTAATAAATATAAATTTTTATTATAATTTTTAATATATATTTACAATTTAATAAATTATTATATATATAATTTATAATTTTTAATATATATTTACAATTTAATAAATTATTATATATATAATTTATAATTATAAGTTATAATTTCAAATTATAATTTTAAGGTTATTCATTTGGGTCCTAAAAATTTTTGATTTATCTTCAAAAATAATTACCCATATATAGTGTGGGCTATAATTTTTGGAAATTGGCTTTTTTAATATAACTTTATTAATAAT